TTTATTTATTCTTTTTTTGTTAAATTTTATTGTCAACTTATGTTGTGAATTCCATATCGAAATGTTTAGAAAATCTCCATGAATTGAAGTTTGTCAGGAGTATTGATTCGCCAAGTTGTTATTTAGTTTTTTCAAATCAAGAATTTGTTTGCGAAGTTTGGTTTTGGCACATAAAAAATGTGTTATGACTATTTTGCAGAATTCTGTGCTTTTTTGCGTAGAAAGAAAAAATCACTTCCTTTCTGAGCTCATTACCATGATCTTTTAAGCGACACTTTTAACACGTTTTTGGAAATTAAAGATTTGGATGCCGCCTTTAAATGGCTTCAGATTGGGTGTCGGTCTTGTTTTATGGTCTCCTAAATCTGTATCTATACTGTGAGATATGCCTTCACTGTGAGATGTGCATTTTTTCCCCCTACTAAACTCATTCTATCCTTATACAATACTTTCTTTTTGCTTGAAAGGCTTCAACTCTGGTTTGTTCAAGCAGACAGAGCCACATATAGAAATCTCAAATCTCATGCTGCTTTACTGAACTGCCGATGAGCAGAACTGATGTTATTGGCAGTAGAAGGAGGAGGATTCTTCTCTTCTTCAGCTTCAGGATATAGTAAGGGCCTGACCCTTCTTCTCTTGGGTCAGAGGAGTGAGGATAAACCCATGAGAGTTTCCCCGTGGAACCAGTACCAGTTGGTATACCAAGAATCAGACCCCGAGCTCCAGCTGGCTTCAACAAAGAATCGCATTTCCCGCGGTTGCGCTTCCTTTGCTTGCTTTGGTCGCGCTTCCGCAGGGCTTGAAACACCATCTCCTCTTAAAGTGGGCCCTGCCCAACAGCATGATGTCTCACCAGGGTCCTTGGTTTCTGACAAGGAGCAATCTGTTCATCTTGATAATAGTAATGCTACAAGAAAAATAGCACTTAAAAGTAGCCTAAAAAGGCCACAAGATCATAAGCCAACTCCCATTGAAGCTGCTAATGAACGTGAAGAATCAGGCGGTGAGCGGAGTGATTTTTCTGTTCAAAGAGAGCGCAGGAAAGTGCAGTGGACAGATGCTTGTGGCAATGAGCTCACTGAGATACGAGAGTTTGAACCAAGGTATCGGAGTATTTTGTTTTCCGTAAATGTTTTAGCCAAGAATATTTATATTAATAAATTATCTGTACCAAGTAAGATTTGCTAGTTTACGCTATTTCTAACTTTTCTTTCTTTGTTTAGTCATAAAATGTCGAAAGAAGCATGCTAAAGTTGGCTATTTGAATTACGGTAATTTGACAAATTAATTAAAGGCATGTATTGGATAGTGAAGAAAATATGTATTATGTGTCTAAACCCCTATATTTCATGATCCTGCCTCCTCCTCTGCTTGGATGCGACTATAAGAATGTTGATTTGTGGGTTTGTACTTTTACTGTTCTCCATTTGATTTATTATAGCTTTTAATGATGCTTCCGATGCCACATCTGTTGTTTCTCTCTTAAGCCTGTCTTCTTATTTTTGGTTTCTCCCACTAACGGATAATCTTACTCTTTGCTTGTCAGTGATTACTATTGAATCTAATGATCTTATTGATGCTTGAAATTCTTTATATCTTTGCTTTATGCTCGTGCTTGAACCACCAGAATTTGGATTGAACCATATCATATTGATTCTGAAATTTTGCAATGCCAGTAGCCTTGATAAAGTTCTCGAATCAAGCAATGGACAGAAAGCAAAAGAGAAAAGGGGGGAGATAACTGGTGACGGTAGTAATTGTTCATTTGTAATTTAGGTAGGGAGATCAATTAATATGAGGCGGGCATGATAATTGATCCAACTTCTCTCGTTTGGGCATATTGCTGTTATGATAGGCACTCAAGCTGGGTGGGGAATCTCTAAAAGTTTGATGTTTACACATGAGGACCGCCCTGCTTAAGTAACTTGTCACGCAGTTCATGCTATTCAATGTCAGACTTTAGCATCCCATACCATCCTGGTTCTTATCAAGTTAATAACTAAGGAAAAAAATATCAAAAGAGAAGATGATCCCTCGCTCTTGGGTGGAAGGATTTTAGCTTTGAATGACCGTGGTTTTTGTTCTCAAGTCTTATTTTTGCAATCTCTATTGGATTGGGACATCATTTCATTGATTCTCTCTTGAATATGTTAGGCCTCTTCCTAGTCAAGTGGTCTTAAATGTGGATCGTTTTGGTCAATGGTTAACATTATAGATTTGTTATAGGCTGAGAGTTTAACAAAGCTCTTTTCTTTCATAGTTATCATAAGTTATTCCTTTATATGGGTTCTGTTATTCTGTTATTCGGTTCTTACCTTCCATGTGCTATATTCGTATGGTCCTGTCAAATTAAGGTCCCATAAACACAATCTGTTCTATTGTAGAAGATATATGGTGCTTTTCTATAAGATGCGAACTATCTTAGGATTAATAAAAGTTTAATCACGCAATTTGTGGAATCTGAGTATAAGCTATTCGTTGTTGCATTGTTTATCTACTCGTATATTTTTCCTTTTGGTCATGGCATGGGGCAGAGCAGAAAGCTCTGATTCTTAGTTGGTAGGTTTGGAACTTGAAAGGCTTTGATTTTGTCTTGCAAATTTGGAGTAATTTCTGCGTAGCAAGTTTAGAGATTCTGGAAGGTTTAAGGAAGGAATGTTTAATAGGAAAAGCCTGCCTTGAAGTTTTATATGTCTTTAGTTTGAGATAACTAATGGAATATTTTAGGATAAAATGCTGCTTTTGGTGCATTTAAGGGGCATGATGTTTGTTTTCTTTTTCTTTCCTGGGATTTTTAGATAATTGCTAGTGCTACTGCAACGAGGTTTTTCCGTGATATTACTGGGGAAGGCTTCTTTCTATTGTTGTGGTTTCACCTTGTTGTTTGGTTTTCATTTCTGGCTTTTATAAAGGACGCCTCATCCTTTGCCCTTGTACTCTTATTTCTTTATTTTTCTACATAAAATAGTGGCTTCATCATGTCCTACTCTTGTTGGATATTTTGGGCAAGTTCTATGTCTTCATACATGTGGATATGCTTGGGCACCACATCTTTAGGTTTTTGGTTGATTCAAAACCCCGTACATTCTTTGGCCAAAAAAAAAAAAAGAAAAAACCTGTACCTTCTAAATTTTTCAGCCCCTTTGTTATTTGTTACTTGAATGATCTTTGGGAAGCTTCTATATTGATGTGAATTATAATTAGTTGGATTCTTGGTTTATTAACTCGAAATCTTCTTATGTGCAAAAGGATTTGGGCAGCTTTGCCGCATGCTTCATATTTTTTTTCCACCCACTTGCTATTTCGTTTTGATCTGTACGGTGCCTTTCTCATGTGATTTCGGTAAAAGTCAAACGAGGTGTATGTAATATATTTTTCTAAATTTTTCCAATAACCTATGTGTAGTTGATTACTGAACTAGAAATTGTCATTCATCTGCAGTGAAGTGGATGGATCAGATGATGAATTTGACAATGGGAATGACAGAACTTGTTCGTGTGCCATTATGTAAAATTGAATTTCCACCATAAGACGAGTGGAACTCATTTGCGTGGCGTCCAGGGAATCACTGCTTCTAATAGCATCACTCAGCTTGTAGAGAATGAAGCCACAATTTTACAGGACATCTGAGACGGACATGGTAGAGAGTCCAATAACATGATCTGCCTGAGTGATCGTCTGTGTCGCAGCCTTCAATTTTGTTCCTCTGCTTCTCACCGTCATCATCATCAATCAATTTATTGTATATTTCTTGTGTGATTACATTATCTTTCGATTCATCACATTTATGCCATTTCATGTTCTCATTGTTATATGGATCGACGAAGTTTTAGTCCTATCACCTATGTTCTCATCTTCATCTAGAAGAAAAATTATACAAGCATGAGATTCCATACAAAGTATTTGATAGCAGCTTGGTGATGCTGATAAACAAAGGGGCTTCTGAGTTATGTCCTCTGCTTGAAACCAGGGCTGTGAACGGAAGGGTTGGAAACTGAGAATTATTCCGCTCGTTGCACTGAGTTTAGGGTTCATTTGGTGTCACTGAGTTGCCCGAGTCGTGCGAGTGAAAATCATTTGTGGCAGTGTTCTCTTGGTGGTGTGTTTGATGAAAGGGGGCACCACTCCTCCATCAGGAAAACATGTGTCATTTATCAGACGCTTATGGTCGGGCTCTGGATCCTTAGCTTTTCCGACGCGCCTGTTTATAAAATTATATAAAAAATTTACAATAAATATATACTGTTCTTAATATAAAACCTTGTTTGATTTTTATTTTAGTTCTAAACATAAAATCTCAAACAATTTTATCTCTTATATTTATTTTTTTTTTTTCAAGATAGTCCTTCTAATAATAATAATTCTAACTAATACACTTGATTAATAAAAATATTTTAAAAAAGACAATACCTATTTATTATAAATAATTAATTTAATTTTTTTTCTTAATCTCTTTAAATTAGTCAACTAACTCTTATAGAGGATAATATTTTTTCGGACTATGATATATAAGATGGTTTAATCAAAGTAAAAGCGCAAGATTTTGTGGCCCCTTTCCCAGGTATACCGGCAAGTTCTTGTCCATGTGTTTGAAATTGAGTCCAGTGCAATAAGATATTAAATTTAGGTAAAAAAATTTTTATATAGCGTAAGCTGTAACTATTTTTTTTAAAAAAATGTAACACATGTGAATGTTTTGATTAAAAAAATTAAAAAAAATCAAACTAAACGCACTAATCTCAAGTTATATTACATATGAGCTAAACGACATTGTTGGGTAAGGAAAAAAAATGGTAAACGACATTCATAATTTAGTCGCGGCAAATGGAGGTGGCACCTTCGGCCAGTAAACTAGAGCCACTTTTCCAGCGGAAACTTGGCCATGCCTTGTCCACACAACCTTTCTCTGATGATGATAAGCCCCTTCACTTCCAAATCCACAAATCCAAACAAAACCCGGTTCAAGAGGATTCTCAAAGCATCAAACTATGGGGTTTAAATATTAAAAAAAAAAAAAAACCAGAAAATCTGTGGGAAATTGGGTAGCACCACCGGCGAAGAAAATGTCAGTGGCATCTTCAATCCCATGCATCAAAATCCCATCTTCTTCTTCCTCAACTTCCTCTTCATCTTCTTCTGCATCATCCTATTCCCTTCGATTTTCTACTTCTTCCAAGTATTATACTTTCGCCATCAGGAATTCTCAGACCGAAGGGCCTCTGAGAAGACCAGGGTCTCCTCCTTTGAGGGAACCCCTGAAACCCAACCCTCCATCTCCGCCGTCGCCGTCCCCGTCCCCGTCCCTGTCACCTGTGGCGCCCGCTCCTCCTCAGCAGAATGTGGCTGCTGTTGTTGCGGACGATAAGAATGTTGTTACATTAGAGTTTCAGAGGCAAAAGGCGAAGGAGCTTCAGGACTACTTCAAGCAGAAGAAGCTGGAAGAAGCAGATCAGGGCCCTGCTTTTGGATTCGTGGGGAAAAATGAGATCAACAATGGAAGGTAAAGCTTTGATTTTTTTTTTTGGAGACAATGAATTTCGAGCTTTTCTTTATGTTGGTACAACTGCTTGAATGATGAGCTGTTCGTCAGAATATGGATGGATTTAAAGCGGAACGAATTTCTATAGTGGCTGAGGAGGTTTTATGGGATACTTGCTTAAATATTCGTCGCCTTATTTTCTTTTCTCTCCGATAAGAATTTGCTTGGTTGATATATGTCCCAAGCAGTAGCAGCCTTGGACTTGATTAGCTGAATTTCTAGTCTAAGATTAGGAGCAGGAAATGTAGATGACCATGAATATGACTCAGAAGCTAAATCTTTGTGAAACTTTCTGGTGTTCTAGTCACGGTCATGCCTGGTTTATAGCGAGGTCTGTTTTATTCCCGCTTGCCATTCCTTTCCTACATTGTTATTGATTGGATATGTTTTATAGATGTACGATTATTTTATGCTTTTCATTCCTTTCATTCTTGTTTTATTGTGATAAACTTTGATTCTGTAAAATTTATTACGAGACTATCAACTTTTTCGCTTCATTTTCTTCCTCTAAAACAATTGTAGAAGTCACTGAAAGCTATTCTCCAAGACTATTTAAAGTTTTCTAGCCTACTTTTAGAATTTCAGTTTGTCACCACTTTGTAACATTGGTTAAATCCAATTTAGTGGAATTTCAATTGGACATCAGATACAAAAATATAGATAGGAAACGTTAGAACAAATTATAGCAGCCAAATGGAGGGTAACCGTGTAGAAAACTGAATCTAACTATTAAGCTTTTTGCTTTTGGGTGGCTGTCTAAAGGGGCAGATGAGCTACTGTATTCTTTTAGCATTTTCAAGTTTTCTCCTCGTGCAGTAGGGAAACACGTTGTAAGCTTTGCTTCCTTGCAAAGTTGGGCTAACTTGTTTGATTCTTCCCGGGCTAGCATTGCTCCAACTCTTAAGTGTTAATGACGTTATCAAACTTCCTCTCACCTCAACTTTTCAAGAGAGGGAGAGTGAGATGACTTGGTTTACTCTCAAAGGGACTGATTCGCTGACCACTTTTAAGCACTTCATAGAACGACAATGGGAATTTCACTACAATTAGATTTTATGACTAAGGTCAGTCTTAAGCTTGGCACGTGCTTACACTAATCTTACATGTGTTTCTTGTCAAAGTGTGATTTTCAAAGGACATCTACGGAAATCTTATATTTATTGCCTGGGAGATGGACTTGTTGAGTATTGTCAAGCGGAAGCGCGCCAATTTCTTTATCTGCTTGACCACACTTAGTGGAGGCATCTGCACTTAGTTTTTGCCTCTTTCTGGATGAAGCATCCATTGCTAATTATGGCAAACTTAAGAAATGACACTCATTATCAATTATAACTAGCTTAGAGGAAGTTCCTGCTTATGGTATGATTCGCATGATGCTTTTCTCCTTGACCAGTGGAAGCGTCTCTTCTTGATCAGCGGGGACACGTTCTCCTGGTCAATGGAGGCACCTCCTCTTAATTAGTCTAGACACCTCAATAATGAGCTGGAAGCTTTGCTTCTTATAAGAGAGCTGTCTTTCTTCTTCAATAATTAATTTATAATTAAATTGTTGTGGCTTTTTATTTGATTAAATAGATATAAACTAATCAATACAAAACTAGAATTTTATATGCGTACGTCCTTATCCTTAAAGCTTTCTTCAACCACAGTGAGGAATACTCTTCAAGGTAGACCTTACCTAATTCATGAATAAATGATAGGCTGACTTAATATTCATTCGATGGTCATTGCAGTTAGTGAAAATGATAGGCTGACTTATTTTATATGCGTACGTCCTTATCCTTAAAGCTTTCTTCAACCACAGTGAGGAAATACTCTTCAAGGTAGACCTTACCTAATTCATGAATAAATGATAGGCTGACTTAATATTCATTCGATGGTCATTGCAGTTAGTGAAAATGAACATTGAGTGAAGTAATCTGAAAATAGCGTCGACATGTGGGAAAATATGGGTGTAGGATCAAGTGAACAGTTAAGATTGATTTGACTGCATCATCCACATTCAGCCATATTGATTTTTGTCGATCCAAATCCTAAGGTCTCGTGGTGTTGTCACAAGCGTGGAGGGTTCAATACTGTTTGGACACTAACGGAGACCAAGCTGGTAACAATGATGTATGGTCTCACTTTTAAGTGGGTTGGTTTTCTTATTTTAATAATGAGCTTTTTGAGGGAGAGCCCTTTGCCTACTTAGATGCTCGTGAGACACGGGCATGGCTTCCTTTTTAATTTTGAAGTGGCCTTGCTCCATAGGATGCAATTGTTTAGACAGTCATTAGATGGTCGCAACTGGTTAGTTGTATGCATCGTTCTGGCGTGCACACGCAAAACTGAAGAAACATCTCCCACCCTCCTTGTGCTTAATATCATCTACTCTTTTGATACGATGCTTCTTATACATTCATGTGTTTCTGTTGGGTATCCTTTCATCCTTTGGTATTCATGTGACTTGTTTAATTTGGCCTGTGTATTTGGAATTTGGTTGATGCAGATGGGCCATGTTCGGTTTTGCCGTTGGGATGCTAACAGAGTATGCAACAGGTTCGGACTTTGTTGATCAAGTAAAGATCCTTCTTTCGAATTTTGGGATCGTAGATTTGGAATGAACAATTTTAATGTTTAATGTTGTTGATAGTTTCGACCTTTATTCGTAATATATTTCTGTGGTTTGTTACTCCCATTTATTTATAGCAACCCAGTTGCCTGGAATGATAACATTGAGGATTTCCTTCTTTCATTTTGCTTACTCTACTCCGTACCCGTAGACAGAGATGTATACGGCATTTGGTGAGCAGAGCAGATATTCTCTGTTCATGCATTCGACCAAATTATGACACAAAAAAATGTGACTGTGGTAAAGTCTACCTTCCATAATTATATTTATTTATTCTTCAAACCTTTTCCCAAGACAGAACTATAGAGGTTTAGATCTGGTCTTCGATATTTTGCAGTTTTTATCCAAGATATAAACTGATATGTTATGAAGAATACGAACTCTTGTTTGCCATGCCCGAAAGATGTTTTCTTATTATAAATGTTTTGAACTAGTTGAAAAATTGAAGGAAAATCGCAAAAAAAAAAAAAAAAACATGGAAAAGATTACACACGGACTGGTTCACAAAAATTGTTGTCAAAACTTATATTATTATTGTTAAAATCCATATTAATATTGTTATGGGTTTTAATTTGTAATTTTTTTAACTTCATGGTCTTGTTTTGTGATTTTCCCAAATTATAAGGCTTTTTAATTAAAAAAACATAATATTTAATTTGTTAATAAACGTGATAATATTACTTAAACAATGGAGCCATGACAAGTTAAAATATGTAACTTGCCAAACAAGTTTTATTAGGCTAGTTAATATACTACTATCTTAATATAAGAGTTAGAAATTTAATTTAGTCCTAAATATAAGATTTTAATTTATTTTGTTTTATATTTATTCATATATATATTTTTTAAAATAACCTCTATGATAATTGCATATGTTAAGGTTTACATCAAAGAATAGTTCTAATGAACATAATTAATAAGAGTATTTTTAGAAAGATAATATATATTTATTATAAATAATTAATTTAAGTAATTTTTTAAATATTTATAAATTAGTTCTCTAATTATTATATTAAGAATTGAAGATAGTCTTATTTATAGCGAAAACGAGTCCTATGTAAACTTGAAATAAGTCATGTTGTATTATATTATCTTCAACCCTTAATATAAGACCTCGTTTAATTTTTATTTTGATCCTAAATATAAGACCCTAGTCTACTTTGTCTCTCATATTTATTCATTTTTTTAAAGTAATTCTTCTAATAATGGTAGTTTTAACCAATACACTTGATTAACAAGAATATTTTAGGAAAGACAACACATATTTATTATAATATAATTATAATTAACTTATTTTAATCTATTTAAATTATTCAACCATAATTAGGATAAGAGGTAGTATTTTTTTACCTGACTACTATTGATAAATATTATTCGTGTTACCATATTCGGAATTGAGAAACAACACGCATCATCTCAATTTTTGGGTGAAAAAAGGCATCTGATTATAACGATAATTTAAAAGCCAGAAGCCTTTGTCAGAGACGATCACGTGTGCTCCACGTGTCGATACCGTACGGAAAGCCGACATTGTTTACTTTCTGTTTACTCTGGCTCTGTCTGTTCATGTTCAATTGTCCGTGTTGTTTTCCCGCCCCGAAAGTTCGCGCCTTTCAATTTCCCAAAAACTGTACACACTCACGTTTTCAACGGAGCAATCGAAGAAAAGAAGCGCTCACCACAAATTCGGGAAAAAGGTCACACAGTACTTGTTTACTCACAGCAAGATTCCAAAAGTGCCGGCCATGAGCGGCCTCCAGAATCCGACACATTCTTCTCCTATCCTTTTCGTTCTCTCTCTCTCACATCCCAGCAATAGCCCTTCAGCTTCTTGGCGTCTGCTTCCGTCTTCTTTTCTATCACTGTTACTCGGGGCATGTCACTTCCTGTACACATCGTTACAAATGGGATCATACTGATGCTGAGATCGGCACCCTAGAGAGTTATGGGCTGCGTTCAGGCTAAGCCATCGGGGGGTTCGGAAGCTAAGGGCCTAGAGAGGCTGAAACTAGAGAATGGGTATGTTGGAAATGGGGATTTCGCGCTGCTCATCGACGATCGATGGGCCAGATATATGGCGAATGTGAAGATATTGGTAGGTGCACCAGCGCGAAATCAGAAAGCATCGGCTTGGGTCTGGTATTGGGAACGAAGAAAGGGAAGGTAGCAGCAACCGCTGGATGGGAGAGGGGAAGAGAAATGCTGTGCATGATGGTGAGAAAATACCAAGGAAATCTTTTGACGATGAGATGGTTGACGGGTGGCCCAGATGGTTAGTTGATAATGTTCCTCGAGAAGTTTTGGCTGGCTTGGTTCCCCGAGTGCTGAGTCATACGTAATGCTTGACAAGGTCTTTGTTTGGGTTTTGTCATGTTCCGGATTAGATAAAGCTGAATGATGAAGGGTTATGCAAATGATGTAGCATTCTTTACACATCCAACGTTATTGCTCCTACATCTTAACTAAGTACTAGCCTATTACTATGCCGCATCATTTTTGGGATTCTTTGGAGCATTCTTTCAAATGTGGCGTCATTTTGGGTACTAGTTAGATTTTGGCTGCTTGAATCATTAAGAGTCTTGAAGTCATCAATGTTGAGTTGGATCAAAAATTTGATTGAAGAGGATTTCTATTTATATTTTACCGATTGAGTGAGAGTAGATATACTGAAAACAATTAATGTGATTAAAAAGTTCGAGCATGGGTTGTGATTTGTAGGTTCATGGTTTTCACGTCATCGCTGACGATGGTAGAAAGCACGTTAATTGACTGGGCCCATGTGTAAAATTTTCTGTTTTTCAGGTAGGACAAGGAACCTACAGCAATGTTTATAAAGCACGAGATCGGGCCACGAGGGGAACTTGTGGCCCTTAAGAAGGTTCGCTTTGATAATCCCAGCCGGAGAGCATAATTTATGATGGCAAGGGAAATTGCGATACTACAGATATGGATCATCCTAATGTCATAAAACTTAAAGGATTGGCTACATCAAGAATGCATATAGTATTTATCTGTTTTTTGATTTCATGCAATCAGACTTGGCTAGAATAATATCTCGTCCTGAAGAACGACTCACTGACCCACGTTAATTAAAATTTCTCATTGGCGCCTTTTTGACAATTTTAGCATTTCCCTAATTTACATAATAATCTGGAAAAATTGATGTAGGTCAAGTGCTATATGCATCAATTGCTTTCAGGTCTGCAGCATTGCCACGACAGGG